ATTTATTTATTTGAGAGAGAGAGAATGAGAGACAGAGAGCATGAGAGGGAGGAGGGTCAGAGAGAGAAGCAGACTCCCCGCTGAGCAGGGAGCCCGACATGGGACTCGATCCCAGGACTCCAGGATCATGACCCGAGCCGAAGGCAGTCGCTTAACCAACTGAGCCACCCAGGCGCCCCTCTCTTTAGTATTCTTGCAAGGCAGGTCTAGTAGTATTAAACCCCCTCAGCATGGGAATGTCTTAATGTCTTAATTTCTTTATCATTTTTGAGGGATGGTTTACCAGATAGAGAATTCTCTTTTTAGAGTTTTGTTTTTTTTTTCTTTTAGGACTTTGACTATATCAGTCAGATATAGATACTTTCTGGCCTCCAAAGTTCCTGATGAGAAATCTGATAATCTTATTGAAGATCCCTTATATGTTATGAGTCTTGTTTCTCTCTTGCTGCTTTCAATATTCTCTTTTTGGCTTTGGGTTTGGTGATAATGTGTCTCAGTCTTGGTCTCTTTGACTTTATCCTTTTTGGAGTTCATTACACTTCATAAATTTGTAGATTCATATCTCACATCAAATTTGGGAAGTTTTCAGCCATTGTCTTCAAATGATCTCTGCCCCTTTTCCTTTTCCCTTTCAGGATTTCCACAATGCTATTTTGGTTCACTTGATGGTGTCCCACAGGTCTCTTAGGCTCTGTTCACTTTCTTCAGTATTTTTTGTTGTTGTTCTTCCTCAGACTCAGAATTTTAATGGCCTGTCTTCAAGTACACTGATTCTTCTGCTTGCTGAAATCTGATTTTTTAATCTCTCTAGTGAAATTTTCAGTTATTGCAGTTTTCAACTCCAGAATTTCATTTTGGTTTCTTTCTGTATTGTCTATCTCCTATTGATATTTTCATTTTTAAAATCATTTTCATGACCTTTACCCGTATCTTTCTTTAGCTCTCCTGAGCATCTTGAAAAGTGCTGTTTAAATGTTTTTGTGTAGTATGCCCACCATCTTCTCTTCCTCATAGATGTTTCTGTCTATTTATTTTGTTGCTTTGAAAGAGTCAAATCTTTTTTTTTTAAGTGCCTTGTGATTTTTTTGTTGCAAACTAGACATTTGAATTTTATAATGTCGGTAAGTCTGGGAATTAGAACCTCCCCCTTCCCCAGAGTGATTTCCTTCTCATACATTTCCTTTTCACAAGGAGAAGGCTAGCTTAATTGTTTGATAAAGCCTCTTCCAGGCCTGAATCTCCTGACTATGACTTATGGTAGCGTCTGAACATTTTCATGTCATGGCAGCCAGGAGCATTAGAGAACAGCCTCGATTTTTAGCTGATAGAGAATCAGTTGAAATATTTATCAAATTTTAGTTTTAGCAAACTGAGTGTTGTTGGAGTGGGGGGTGGGGTGGGAGGGATGGGGTGACTGGGTGATAGACACTGGGAAGGGTATGTGCTCTGGTAAGCGCTGTGAATTGTGCAAGACTGTTGAATCTAAGATCTGTACCTCTGAAACAAATAATGCAATATATGTTAAGAAAAA